TTATGTTGACAGGAGGAGCGGAGGGACGGACTCGTTCCGCGCGAGTGACAGGATGAGTTATGTTGACAGGAGGAGCGGAGGGACGGACTCGTTCCACGCGAGTGACAGGGCGAGTGGCGTCAATGGGAGGAGCGGAAGGTGTCGACTGTTTTCGTGCTCTGACACGGGCGACAACTTCGTCGAAGGCAGCGAGTTTCGAACGTGTGGCGCGGCTTTTGGCAGAACAAGCGGCTGCTTCTTCGGCAAGAATGCGGATGCGCTCGGTGAAACGGGTGGGACGGGTGGTCGGAACAGAAGAAGTGGAAGCGAGTTCGACTCGAGGTTGGGCTCTAGGGTCGACTCGCGGTCTTTCTGGGAGACCATAGCGGGCACGAAGGGCTTGAGAGCGGAGTCGAGCTCTCTCCATAATGGAATGAACGACGTCAAGGGGTCCATCTTGCTGAGCAGCTCCTCGACTCTGCGAGGGAAGGCTGCGGGTGAGAGTGTCACCTGTCCCAGTGCGAGCTGGAACAGATGCACGAACGAAACGAGTAGAAGGGGCCGATATGGAAGGAGCAGGACGTGCAGGGGGGGCAGGGGCAGGGGCAGAAGCACGGGAAGACCGAGTGGCAAGATACGAACCTCTACGTACCGCAGTAGAAGCAGATACGCCAGCTGAACGGATGGGCGAACAGTCTGACACGAAAGAGCTGCAAGGAATCGTCGGAGTCCGGCGACCCTTGAAGGGGGAGAAAGAAGAGGAGAAGGAGGGAGAGAAGAAGGAGGAAGAGGCGGAGGAAGAGGCGGAGGAAGAGGAGAGGGAGTACCCAAGCTTGCTGAGACGAGACATTGCGAACAACGACCGTCAAAACAATTTGGTCAAGAACGGGAAAAGAGGAAAAAGGGAAAACGGGAGCAAGAAAAAGGTGGTAGCAGGAGCAGGAGCAGTAAGCGCAGAAACACGATATGAAGTTGAGACGAACGCAGAGCGTGAAATCACGATACTAGCATCAAACGACCATATGGTGTTGAGGAGAGAAAGAAGAAGAAAGAGGAAAAAGAGGAGGGAGGAGAGAAAAAGTGCTTTATAGGATCTGTTTTCAGTGCCAGAGAGAGGTAAAGGAAGGAGCTCAAGAGGAAGTCGAGGAGGAAAGAGCAGCACCGACAGAGGGCGTGAGGAAGCAACGGAGGCAATGACGGCACCAGGGAGGCACATATCGACAGCCACGGCAGTGGAGGAACGACAATTGGAGCGATTGACATGGGATGGCATGGGAGAGCCTACATAATCAGGGTGTCCAACATCATATATCCAATCGGGCAGAAGCTTGTAGACCTGCAAAGATGTCGAAGTTGCTGGCGGACATTTTGCCTGTCGTAGCCAGACATATCCTGCTCGTTAGTCCGCTGATGCCTAGGAAGGTGCGAGACATTAGTAGCAGGCAGGAGCAGGAGAAAAATTGTCCAATTCAAGAGTCCTTGAGAGAACAAAAAGGTATCGTCCATTCAAAGCACTGTTACAATTGGTAAATTCATATCATCGTATGCATGCAGAATCATAGACACCGCTTCTCGGCCCCCTTGTGTTGACCTATACCTGCGCCTGCTCTCCGGTGCGCCCTCATCATTTAAAATTCCAAGCGGTATGTTCGCGTTACTGCTGCTTCTAGCATCATTCGATCCGAGGAGGACTCGACGACTTCTTCCCCAGAGGACTCAGACTTGAACTGTTTCCCGTCAGTATTCGACCGCCATCTTCAGGAAGATGATGAGGTGAATTGCTTACGACCGACGCCTCTCGCCTTCTTTTCGAAAGCCTTCGATAATCTTGGCGATCTCCTTCCTACCAGCACGAGCATCAACCTTCCTCCCACCCAAGCTCATGCTGACTTTCTCATTTGCATTGGCAGTTAACAGCCGTTTCAGAAGAAGGTGCCGCATACTCAAGCATACGAAGACGCCGCAATCGCTGCCATTTTCCTGTACGGGGGAATCTTCCAGATGAATAAACCGTATTGGCCGGTTGAGAAGCGTGCCAAATTTCTGCGTCACGGCTCTTGCCTCCCAGTAATTCCCCGGAGGCAGCGAATCATAGTGAAATGCCACGCCGTCAACGATGGATATCAGCAGAAGCGACCAGTGCGAGCCACCCTCTGCTTCAGTCACGTTCCGGCAATCGTTGATGGGAAGAAAGACATGCGTTGTACGCGAGAAGTCGGGTAAGGCCTCACGCAATGAGTGAGGATTCGGCGTCTGCAATAGCATGAAAGACATGCTGGGACGAAGAAGCACAATATTGGACGTCTTATACTGAACGAGGAATTCCCTCTCCAGATATCTGGATCCATCAGTTCTCCGATAGCCATCACAAGACTCACCCGACTTACTCCTCCCAGAAGGAAATAATCTGCGAGCACGTTAGTTACCGCATGCATTCTACGGCCGCTATGCAACCCACATTATCCGTAAGCCAGTCATTCTTGAGAGTCTGCATGTCCTCCCTCGTCACTGTAATCTGTCAGGCCATCCAGTCACGCTGATACAAACCCGGGGGGGGTACCATACACCGTATATCGTAGTCTATCAACTCCAGACTTAGTCAAATCCACTTTGTTCCTAGCAACAATGGCGAAGAGGAAAACCACTCACAACTAAGATACGCATCCTCCGGGTTTAACTGTCCAAGTCAGCACATCTCCAGCTCAAATATCTCCACAGACCCGCGATTCCAGTTAGGTTGCCCTACTTACAGTATCACCAAACCGCCTCATCTTCTTGTGCAGCTTTCCTAAGCCTCCGTCCCGCATTGTGCCCGGCTCGTGCACTCAATCCTCCGAACCCAATATGTATACCAATCCGTGACGGTGCGAATAGAATCCAGCTTCGGCAATATGCAACGGGATGAATTTCGTGGAAACTGAACAAAGAACAGCGCTCGTATCGATTCAAAGGCACCTATACAATGAGGGACATACAAATCCAAAGAAAAATGAAATAACTTCTCGTTTCAGCCCGCCAGCTTTGCAAGACAAGCATCAACTCAACGAGCGCGCAGCGGAAATCGGAGATTCCTTTCAAGAATGGGCTCGTACGACCTTGCGGGGTTGGGGAAACGGGATCGGCGCAGGGAAACGTTGACGAAAAGGCTGCTGTTATAGTCGTGACAATTGGCTGAACCTGGAAGGAAGGCTTGATATCACTGACGGAGCCCCTTCGCCCCCAAGCTCCTCGTCGTCGACAGGAAGATTCCAGGTTGCTCTCCCTGCGGCGATCAATGAGCCACTTCCAGGGTGCCGCGGTGCAAGACGTCACCTGGGGCTGGTGGTGCGCGTGGCTGGTGTTTCACGTGATCTTACTGTGGCTGGCTTAATATGTGGGCGAGTTTCGGAGGCATCTAGTCTACGGAGTGAAGTGGTATAGACATTCGAATTTAATGCATTCGTCGCTCAATCAGGGGTATCTAAATGTACATTCGAATATTGCCTTCTGAATGGCAAGGGCAGTGGCAATAGGTCAATCAGCCGCTTCCTTTCCCACCAGCATAATTGCAACCAAAGATCTTCCTTGTCCGTCATCTCAGAAAATGCACGTCATAAACAGACATTAGAAAGCAAATATGAAGGATGAGTCTAACATTGGCCCATGTATCAGATTCATTCACCGTTGCAGTTGAGTGTGATATGAATATAAAACGTAGATGAAAGGTCATCCGGGGCCATGGTACTCTGACAGAAAAACAATTCAAGTATTTCGCTGGGAATCGTCATGCAAACATATAACATCATAACACGCGGAATTCTACCCGCGTAGTCAACTTCTAGCTCGAGAGTTTCGCAAAGTGTTTGTTCCAGATCCAACCGACCTGGTGGGTTGGATCGTCCTGGTTTATGGCAAGCCAGAGCTCACCCTTTTCAGCTATGACATCGAAAATCTCCCCGGCGACATAAGTGAGATAAGGATAACCGGCTTCTCGCCGCGCCCGATCGATATTGAACTCATAGATGCTTGCAGCGAGGAAGAGGACCGTCGGCTCCTTGGGCGCGGCGTCCTCCAAAGGTGCGTCGTCCTGCGGATTATCCGACATGGGCATAGCGGACGAGAAAAAGCCCGAATAACGGCCACCAGGAGAGGTTGGTGGATTCCCAGAGACCTGGTCGTTGTTTGATGAAGTGGCCATAATGTCGACGAGGAATGGGGAGTCGAGACTTAACCTCGGCAGGCTGGGAAAGGGTTCTGTCTTGAGCGGTGGGGCCACGGACGCAGATGAGGCGTTCGTGATCTGCTGCAGAATCTGACTCCGTGGGATTTCAGAGGTTTCTGGCGCAGCACGACCAGAGATAGTTGAATCGGCTCGATGGCGGCCGTACGATCCCAGAGATTGAGCGTCGAGGCTTGGAGACTGGAAGATGTTGCTGCCGTTACCGAAGTCGTGGGAGACTTTAGGTGATTCACCCATGGTAGACCCTATGCGAGTGCTAGTGCTGTTCACAGTTGAGGGCCGCCGAGGCGAACTGATGGTAGGGGCAGTCGAAGGAGTGTTGAAGTTGACAAGATTGATAGTATCAGCCAGCAGCGATCCGTTGCACATCCCAAGGGACAAAACCTGCGCCTCCGCCAGAGTGAAGTTTGCAGACCAGTCCCCGATGATCTGCTGGATATCGTCCGGAAAGGGGTCGATGAGATCCGCAAATTTTTTCTGAAGGATGTTGAACCACGTAGTCTGTATGTGCACAAAGTTTTTCAGGCATGCCTCCATCATCTTAGTAGTCAGAGAGTAGAGCTTGGGCAATTCCTCCTTGAGGGTCTCGTTGAGAGCTACGAATTGTTCGCTTTGCTCTGTCGTTTTCTTGTCGGGCTTGTCACCACGGTCCTTGATGGATTTGAATCGGGCATGGTCCATGAGACGCTTGTCTCGTTTCTTCATCACTCTCTGGGGCCCGTCGTAAAGTTTGAGCAGCGTAACCATCGGGTCAATCACGCTTTTCCGGACAACGGCGAGCTGAACATTTTGCATTAGCCTGAAAGCTCATTTCTCACGTCAAGAGGCTGCTCGACTTACATGTTCAGGCAGAGCTGTGGCCATTATTTCACGCACTGCCATCTTCAGGTCACGCCACCTGCTCTCCACGTCCAAGTAGCCCGACTGAGCCACATCGACGAATCCTTCAATTGCGGCGACAAACTCGCTAAATCGATCTAAAGAGCTCTGGACTTCCCGTGTGTACATCTCCACATCACGCATCACAACTTGTAGCTGGAAGAAGCTATCTCCAAATCGTTGCGATAGGGCGTCGTACTGCTTGTCTTCGAACATATCGGAAAGGCCGACTTGTTGTCTCAATTTCTCGGTGCGACGACCAAACGCCTTTGACAGCCCGGCTCTGACATCCGACTCTTTCCTCTTACGGCCGACTACCTGACCGACCAAGTCTGCTCGTTTCTTCATTTCGTTGATACGGACCGAGATGTTAGTGACCTCTTCTAGAGCATTTACCAGATATGGACGGTCCGGGTGGTCGCTCGGGGTTGAATCCAGAATCTCGCTTAGGAGCAAGGGGTACTTTAATATTCGTTGCACCGGCTTCACAAGTAGCGAGTCTAGGTCCCAAGCAGTGGTGAGATCTGAAGCCCATTCCCGACATTCTTTCAGCCAAATGGCTACTTTCGGGTTTCGTTGCAATACTTGAAGTTTCTTGTTGGCGGCATCGTGGTTCTTCAGATAATCGGCGTACACTTTTTCCATCGGACCAATATGAGCCAGGAAAACCTGACCAATAAAGGTTAATCTGTCCTTCTCTGTATCGGAGACTTCACTTGCGCCACTCGCAGCCTCTGAGTCTGTCTTAGATG